CCACCAAATTCAACCTCCTCCCGCGCCATCATACCGCCTGGGTAATCATTTCTGTAACGTAGCATCGATTCATTTCGCTGTACCGTGGTGCTATTTTGAGGTGCCATGGTAGCACCACTGGTACCAGAGTGACGCTGGAAAAAAGACGAGACGTTGCGCTGTTTTGATTTTGCACCTCCGCCAAAAAAACCACCAGGTCGAGCTGGTGACAAACTTTGAGCCTTTGAACGACGCATGGTTGCAGCTATTTGCGCGGCACCAGGATCTTCACGATAGTTTCGGATTGAGCGATCCAGAGCGTCCCAATCGGATTCCGGGGGGACCGATCGCGGAGAATACGGTGCAGCTGCGACATCAAAATACGGATCGTTTCCACGCCTACCATCATAGGTGCCTCGGTATCCGGCCGTAGGAACGGTACTGACGCTAAGATATGGTTGATAGTCATAGTTGCGCTGTTGATGTTGTTGGTGGTGCTGCTTCACTGTGCCTCCAGTGGTGTACCGGTCATCTGGTCCTCCGGCCGGAAATCCATAATCACTGCTGACCACCCAGTCTCTCCTGTTGTCCAGTGACCGTGAGCGCCACGGGCGACTCTCGCCTCCAAAGTAGCCTGCACTGCCGGAAGCGCCAAAATAGCTTCCACCGGCTCCGGATGCGGGGTAATCCAGATCGGGAGAGCGATAAGCTGGACTGGGTTGCTGCTGCTGCTGTTGCTGGTGCAATCGGGGCTGCGAACGTGAACGACGCTGCTGGTACGTGTACTGGTGCTCCATGCCTGTTAGCTTAGCTGCAGCAGCTTACCGGATTTGTTCATGCAAATTAGCAGTAAAGTACCAAAAAAATTTTCAGTAATACAAAGAGCTTTCAGGACAATCCAATGAGCTTATGGGCGATCACAGCAGAATCAAAATGAGGCAGCTGACCGTGCATTTGGTGTTTTTTCGACAATCATCTGTAGAAATTTTTAGAAGCTTGGAGGCCGCGGCAACAAGTGAAATGCATCAAGAGAAATGGCGATGCAAATAAAAATAATTGATGGTAGTGCGGTCATTGGTCTGAACGTGGCCTTCGAGCAGCAGCATATTGTTGGTGGACGCCGAAACGAGAGCGCGGACGATGACAAGATGCGCGCTAACAGACGTACGGAAGGAGGAACGAGGAAGAGAAAGGGACGGCGTCAAATCCGATTAAAGTTAATTAAAATTAGCTGAGTGACCGGTGGCTGTAGCGGCAACAGCAGTAGGAGCAACGTCAAACTATTATTATAATTGGCTGAGGGCGGGCGCCGGAAAACAGGGAGCGTGAATGGGAGGTAGTGTGATGGCGGAGTTGCGGTACGGCTCTCGACGGGGCGGTGTAATGAAATGGCATCAATTTGAAGAAAACTTCCTGACGAGCAATTCCCCCTCCGCTCGCTGTTCTCCCCCTTCCTCCTCCCAGCCGAGCACCTCCTTTCAAACCAGATCGCGCACCGAACCGCAGCCCTACAGGTGCGGGGCGCCAGGGTTGATCCCTGTAACACTTGTCCTGGAGACAACGTTTTGTAATGAGAAGTCTGTGTATGTGTGTGTGCGTGTGTCTGTGTGTATTTGTGTTTGTGCATGTCGGAATGAAGTACGAAAAACCAGTTTTTTGCACCAAACTGCGGCATTTCTGCACCTTTCCCTGCAGGTAAGGTGCAGAAATAAGAGAGGGAGAGCGACCGAGGGCGAGCAGTGTTCGGCACCACCTCTCCCTCACCGTTTTCCCGCATTCCATTTCTGCGGTTTTTGATGGTAGAACTGATTGCAGTAACTATGCGTTGTTTGTCATCTCAAACGTATTGTGGAACGGTTAAAATATGGGAAGGGCAAAGGGAGGGGAACAAGGCGATACGACGGTGCTTTCTCATCAAAAAAGTACGGTAATTTTCGTCCCCTACCTGAACGATAAATAGTTTGGCGCAGCAGCAGGAGAGTATGCACGGTTGTGAATATACTGGAATACACAAATAGTAGACAGTTCACTTCGTGCGGTACGCTAGGCTTGAGCTTAAGCACCGGCTAACACCTAATCATCCTTCGCTGATCTCCACAGACTCGTAAAAACACAAATTCAGTCGGTAAAAAGTCCATGAGTGTGAAATAAGAAAAAGTCTAGAAGCTGGAGCGAATGGAATTGGGACAGCTTTCGTTATAGCTTTCTGGAATCTTTGTCCCGATAAAATATCGTTCGAGCTGCTTCTCCATTTGAAATTATTATTGACGGGGAAGCACTGGCGATTTTTGATACCAGTGTGAGTCGCGAACGGAGCCCTTTCTCGAAAACTGTTCTGGACCGGTACTGTAGTGATAACATTTTGCATCCGTCTGTGAAGAGGAGTGGTTCGATTCTCTTCCGGTCCAGAGCAATTTTCGAGAAAGGGCTCCGCCGGTGGCAGTATGCATTCTTTTTTTGTCCAACACATTCGCACCTATTTGCGCCCAGAACGTACAGGCATCTCGGGCACATAATTAGCAAACGATCTTTGCGCCAATTTCCCCGGCGGTTTTCGTATTCGTGAAACATTCACACTTTACTAAGTATTTTCAGTGAAAATAGCGGCGCATTCGAAACAATCGATAGAGTCATGCGTTCTTATTACAAAAATCTTCTATGTATACAGTGAATAACTGCATCAGTACACATTGAGAATGACTGTTTTTCTATCGCAGTGTTTTGTTCTACAGTGTAAAGCACTGAAATCAGGTTCCCTGGCTCGCAATTATGGCAGCAGGTTTTGCTTAGACTGTAGACTATTACAAGATAGGAGTAAATCACTAAAACCAACTTCTTTTTTCATGAATACAACTATTCAATAAAAGGAATTTGATGCTGTCGTTCTGCTGCACTTTACACGGAAGGTTCAATTAGTAAAGATGCAAAAATGCAAAAAATGCTTCAAAATAGCGGTATATTTCCTGGGTCCGGTTTTGAATCTCGCGACAGGTTTTCCTAGGCTACAGTGGATGAATGCTCCTTTCTATAGAAAAATAGGGGTACTTAGACATGGTCTGTTTGACGCATTTGAATTACCAGAATCCAGGCTCCATATCAGTTGCAAGCACGGTGATTCAAGTTGAAATCTCAGAATTTTGTTAAATTAATGAAAGAAAAAGTTGGCGAGGAACAGCTTAAAACTAGATTTCAAACCCGAATTTTTTAACAGCTTAAAATC